AATCAAGTCTTTCGGGTCTGCGCCCATAATCAAAGCATCATCCAAGTAGAGTGCAGTATTGAGGATATGGTTCAGCAGGGTATTCATAATTTGCTGGGAAATGGCCGGTGCGGTATTCAATCCAGATGGCAGCCGGCTGTACTGGAAAAGCACGAGTTGCGTATTAACCGTTAGTAATGTTCTGTACTACTTGGCAGACGTAAGGGTCAGTCAGCTTAAGTTTCACGACGCATTGACCACCGTTGAGTTTGGAGAATAAGTCTTCGGATACAGGTAATGGGTACTGATGCGTCTCCAGTGCAGAATACAGTCCAGGTGAAAAATTAGCGCACATATGGACCTTACCATTTGCTTTCTTTACCAACACAATCGGTGTCGCCCATTCCGAATAGTAGACCGGTTCGATTCTACCTTCGGATTGCAAACGATGTAGCTAGGCTTCCACTAGAGATTGAGTTGCACACGGCGCCAGGTGTCGTGGGGTGAAGACTGGTCTGGCATCTGATTTGAGGATCAGCTCCACCATGGCTACACGACAGCATCCGAGACCGGGTTTGAACAACGTTTCATGGTGTCGTTTCAAATCTGCAATTTGTTTGCGCAATTCAGGGTTCATCGTTGGCATCTGAGTAGCTTGCTTGATTTGCAACTGCAGGCATATACTGGTAAACAAGTTTAACTGGTTCATGCAATCAAGTCCCAGCAAATCTAACCCCGGTTGGTTTGTAACAAAGCACGTTGTGTGGATTTGTTGGCCTGGGAAATTGACTCGACAGTTCAACTCACCAAGCAATTTTAACGTAACACTTGAAGCATTCCTTGCCGTATGGATAGTTTGTACGACCTGCGTTAGAGATCAGAGTTATAGCTGAAGCCGTATCAAGTTGTAACTTGACTTGCTTGTCATTGATTTCCACTATGGTGTACTTACGCCTGTTGCCGCCATCGACCTTGTAAGTCGCAGTGATCGTTCTGATCCCATTGAGCCGTCTGAATGGTATGATATTGTTGCGCTTCTGTCTGCACAAAGTAGAACTAGGTGCCAAACAACACGACTCTTTATGGCCTTTTCTGCCGCATTGGTTGCAAACGTGATTCGTAAGTGGACAGTGTCGAGCAAAATGCTATTTTCTACAAAACCAACAACCTGAGAGAGGTTTGTAATGTGATAGACTCACATGAGTTATTGCATTTTTGGGAGTCAGCTGACTGCACAAAATAAGGTCATGATCGTTCGTATTGGACAACTGCTGAAGCATTGATGCATCATGCTTCAGGTTCGTCATTCTCTGGCACGCACCGGTCGCTTGTTGCAAGGTGATGCCAGGATTCTGTTCAATCTTGCTCATGTCTGCATCTTTGGCTGCTTGTAGGCTGCAAACGTAAATGTGACACACCTGTACTGGTCGGCGGTCATTTTGGGAAACGGTGAGCGTTCGCACTCGCGATTTACACAACTCGAGTAGGTGACCCAATCTTCTTCTTCTTTATTGGCCATCGTGAGACACTTGTACCGGATGCTGAACAAAAATATCTGCTCATCAAAAATTTGTGACAGGACTGACAACTTCGTCAAAGGATCGGTCAGTGCTCTTCTTTGGCAAGAGGAAATTTGTAAATTTTTCATGTTCAGCCACACCCGGCTTCCAATGAATCAGACGAATTTGCTTCTGCCACATTTGCGAAAGCAACATGATACATGTATTCATACTTGTGAAACCAGAACACGAATGTCACACCAGCATCCGCATCATAATGGAATTCAATGATCTGCTGAGTCACGGTTTCTGGAAAGGGGACTTTCACTTGCCCCTAACTCGACAGCTTCTGCGTCAACATCCCAATGAACTTAACCTTCTGCTGCAAAAGTGCTTGCAATTGACCAAAGCCGACTGCCATTTCTGGGTTCGATTGAAACACACGTCGTCACCGCTGTAACGCTGCTTTCCCTCACCTGTGCACTCTGCGCTGCCAACCCAGCCGGGGACAAAAGCAGAACATCGTAGCCTGCTAGATCGAAGTGTATTAGACACAGATCATGGTTCACTTTATAGATCACAATCTATCGTCTCCCGTAGCAACCTACTTCATGCTGAAGGTCTCAGTTCATCAGCTTCCCGTGTGACTTAGCCGTGGTATTGCAGGTCAGGTGGCAACTTGTGTGATGATGACGAACTGATTTCATCAGCTTCTGAAGTGATCCAGCCCTGCTACCGCCGGTCGGGTAGCAACCTGTGTCCTGATGATAGGCGTCTCGAAACGGTGTCACGTTCTTATGCTGCGGCATCCGAATAACTTCACAAGCAGTCCAAGGTCCAAAGCAATTGTACGAGGGATGTGGTGGTCTCCACGGGTCGATCACACCGGCTCTTATGATCCAGGGTCGCGTGCCAGGCTGGAATTTCGAAAAGCACTAAAACACCGTGGTTCTTTTAGGCGCGGCATCACCAAATGCAACGGGCAACCGCTCAACACTCTGGTGCCGTTTTAAACCAAATTTGTAGTCATAGAATGTCATCGCCCTCCGGTGACAAGCTAGCGACCCATATTAGTTGCGAGCTGTGTTGGGATGTTGACATATCGTCCTGCGAGTTGAAATCACTTTGCATAAAGGATTACAGTTCATTGTTTTCACGCCAGGTCTTCTGCACCTAAGCTGTGTAATGCGTAGTCGGAGACTTACTGCTCTGCCCACGTATGTAAAAACTCAAAAGTAACGTAGGCCCATCAAACGCTAACAAGCATGTTTGGAATTAAAGTAGGGCCACAGGTGGAGAAACTATTATAAGAATTGCATATTCATATCAAGATAGAAGTGGCGAGCGGTTAGAAAGGTTTAGATATTGCACGAACAGGGCTATTATGAAAGCAAAATATTATCATGCGTAGAGAACTGAGCAAGAGTGGCTGTATTACCGACAGCTTGTCTGGATGCCAGTCACAGTCATAGTTTGGGGCTATTTTGAAAACACTGAACTTCAGCAAACCCGAACTCGTTAAGACATCAAAAGAACAACGCTCTCAATTACCCATTTGACGATTGTTCACAAATGAGTTCCCCTGGAGAGGTACATGTGAGCTTGCACGAAAAAAGAAGGGTATCCCAGGCAAGGGCTATAAGAATGAAAATCTGTCCAGCCGCTCCAGCATGCGCCACCCGTTAGAAAGAGTAAAACCACTGTGGACAACTGTACATTCACACTTTCGATGGATCGATATTAACACCGCTAAACTAGGGTCGTGGGAGCGATATAAGAAGGCGGAACAAGAATGATAATGTGGGATAAAATAGATGCGCGAAGTCCACGCTATCAATGCCGTCGATGTCTAGGTAGCCAGGCGTCGCTGATTAGCTCATTCAAACGGTATTGAGAATACCTTAACATATTCACCCAACTGATTGTTTGCGATTAACATAGCCATTTGACTAACTGAGACAACAATCGACTCGAGCGCTGTGATGCATACGCCACTTGAGGTTGCACCAACCTAAACGCATGAAGTTGACTGAAAGAATCTTATTCGCATGCGACCTCGGCTCGTACTGACCGCGGGAGCATGGCAAACGCCGACGGTGAACGCTAAACACTTGGTTACAGTAGCACATAATAAATCTGAAGTAAGGGGTTTGTGACAGCAGACGGCCACAAGTTTAAGGTGTACAGGTTGTACAAACATGAACCGTTGCCTTGTAGTGGAACAGAATTGAGCAGCGATAAAGATAAGGGGGCAGATATCGACGACATAATTCCACAGCATAGAGCGAATACACAACAAGCAAAGAACAAGAAGGTATGGGAATTTTAGGAAATATTAGGAGGTTATTGCATTTTTTGAGGGGATTCCTATTCCCTAATAATCAGCAATCGTTTTAGCAGCCCACAGGCCAACTCGATTGGTGACATACCATGTACGGCGGTGTAGGATTAGCAGTGCTATATCGCAGCCAGAAACCAATCAAGGCGGTTCGCCGCCGACACCTATGGTTCAGTGGCATAAATCAATGGTTCGCAAGAGTAAGGTTGTGGGTCCGGATCCAGCAGGATCCGGCGGATGCGTGCTATTAAGGGATCCTAATAGGATGTAACGGCCATCTAGCCCTTTCTTGGATGTGTGGTAGCTGTCTAACTGAGTCCAGCTGGGAGGAACCATTAGAAAAAATATGAGAATGTGTTCGATGTGGGACACAAAGCTAAATAAAGTTCACGTTCGCAGAATCTGAAAGTGCCCTTACACTAAAGTGGCCATATACTAACTGGATTGCAAAATGTATTCCAGCACAATAAAATGAAAACGCATTAGCAACCGACTAGGCGTGTGACTTCAGAATTGGAAACCAAGTGGGCAAGTGACACTCATTCACGAGCCGTAGGAAATCCGGAACATGCGGGCAACATTCAAGTTCAACAGAAAACTGATGATTCATCGCAAAAACGGAAGATACACAGATATTTAGTAAGTATAAGTTGAGAAATGGATGTGATTGTCACAATGAATGATAATTAGCACTAGTAGTGCGTGCGTAACACCGACAGTCCGCGTCTGGGTGGTACCCATACCACGAGGTCAACCGAAAACTAGTCGGGTTTTTGTTGCCTTAGCCATGGGTGGTAATCTCTGTCGCAGTGCATTTGTGAGGGCAGCCAGAAAGAACAACGATGTATTCGGATAGACAAAGGACTGGATGTCTGACCCCTCGAAGCGAATACAGTTAAACGGATGGAAACCAGGCAATAGACAAGGGTATCAAAGTGAAGATTAACATCTAACCCTAAGTCGAGAGGGATAAACTTAAACCATGGAGAGAAACAGATAGAGGAAATTTAGCAAAGGAAACAACTTAATGATAGGAACTACTGCAACAAAGCGAGTAGTAATAGCCGTAGTCTTGTCAGAAAGCATGTTCAAAAGCGGTTTAACGGAAAACCATAGTCGGACCTTAAGGACTCCTGACAGATAAGTGAATAAGTGAGTCAAGTTTGACAAGTGTGCGAACTCACCGTGAAATAGGCTGACCGTTGAGGAGTCCGACTCTGAAACAGAAAACATGGTTGAATTAAGCGAAAGTGTAACACTCCATGATGAGCACGACAGATGGGTATCATGGAGAAAATCCGAAAATATAGAGGGGGGAAGATAAGAGGACCCTACTTTCAAACAGAGGATTTACTGGACAAAAGGGCGCAGCGTATATATTAAGCTAGGCCAATAGGGCGTCTTATGTTACTAGAACCATGAGCCCATAAATAACGACGCTGTCATTGATTGATAAGGCATGCAAGAAAGCAGTGCTTTGCGTTCCTGTCACGGAGGCACTGGACGTCGTGACCGATCAGTGAATGTAGAATCATGGACAGTGCGCCCACAGGATTCACAGACGAAGTGCGGAATTGATGGGGATGCATGAGTACTTAATTTGCCAACTGGTTGATCGCCCTAATAGCAAGTGCAACTTGAAATGGTGCATGGTTAATTTCCAGAGTTCCCACATAGTCATCATAAACCTATCCAAAGCCGAAGGGATATTAGTGAAGAGGATACCAATATACTAAAAGTATCCTGGAACGATAATACGCCCAAGCCAGACAGTTTGAACTTATTTTGACTATTGGCTAACAGGTCTGGTCGTAACACGTTTTGTCCCAACAAAAAATGGTGACTTTCTGAATTATGTCTTCAATGGGCATTTCCGATGGGAACGACAAGGTCCCGGAAAAACTTCGAGTATTGATGGTGACGTGATGCCGTTCAATTTCATTCCGCCCGCATAACTATCGGAGGCTAAATAAAATGGTATATTGTACCGGCCATATCGTTCGGTGAACTGGAACACGTTCGTAACATTAATAAGAGGTCTGTCATGGGATAGATTCTCCATGAGTCCCAGTAGTTGTTCGGTCTTCTATCGTTATATCAACCAAGGCTTATATAATATCGCTTTAGTTTCGCAAAAGAAACCGTAAACGTTCGTGCCCGTAGACGCAAAACGAAAAGCTAGTAAACTCATCCGCTTTTACAGGAAATCCCATGATAGCATCAATCAGCACGATACTATAGTCTACAAGCTAGAATCAAGTCGAGCTGAGACGTTTATAGAGGATATCGAGTTCATATAGGCATAAATAAACCCAAGGAATATAGCTGGTAGAAAAAGTGTAGTCCAATAATGACGGCATCCTGTCTACTGCATCGTCAACCTTTGCATCAACAGAAAACCGTGTGATTATGTTAACGCAACGAGAGGCGAACAAGTTGTTTATCGAAGAACGCATGTCTGGTTAACATAATAACTCGAACATAGGAACGCGAGTCCAATTTGCGCATGACATTCGCGGCAAATTCCTGGAGCGAGGCGCCGTTGCAGTCTTTATTCACCGAGCATAAGTTTAGATTGCCTCGTGCCCCTCGTGTACGTCGTCCGGTTGATTTTCCACCACACCTCCTTCGTCTGCCGGCGTCTCATGATTTACCTGCTTCCCATTGTGCGTCCTCGTTGATATCCATACTACTCATGTAGTGCACCACACTCTTCCCCCTCCAAAGTGTTCGCGACACACGACCTCGCACGTAGTCTCTCCGATCTTTGAGGCTGTTCCATGCATGTTGTCGTTTCCTCTGCTCGCTTATAGCATTTGCGCAATTCACTAGCGTGGACTCGCCGCCTATCTCCTTGCCGGGCGATGGTGCATACGGGCCATCTTTGGCCGATTACTTCATAAAGTCATTTCCACTTCGACAGGAGTTTCCTTTCTCCGGGGCTACATGCGGTCACACGTTGGTGGTCTCTGTATTTCACCTTCGAACCGATTGGGAAATCCACGGTCGGTTTTCTCATGTTGTCTCGGGAGCTTTCCATCCTCCGGTTCTGAGTTGCGTTCAGATTTTTTTGGCTAACTTTCTGTCATTCCCTGCTTCCCTTGGCCATACCTGGCAAGTCGGCCAAATTGCTATCTCCAGATCTATCGGAAGTCGTGGTCTGCGGCTGTACGCTAACTGGAATAGGGTTTTCTTGGTGCTTGCTTGCTTGGACACTTAGTGCACTAACAATAGTATTGGTAAGGCTTCTTCCCAATCTCCCCCTTTCGCTGCCAACCATTCTTTAATCGTTCTATTATTCCTCTGCGTTAATCCATTTGTCTGAGGATGGTAGGGAGTGGTCCGTATCTTCCTGATGCCAGTTTCTCCAAACATGTCCGAAATTCGTCACTTTCAAAGCATGGACCCTGGTCTGTCAGTATGGCTTTCGGAATCCCGTGACTCGCTATCACGTGTTTCATCATGGCATGTGTTATCGTGCCAGCGCGTTGATCAGGAATCGCCGCCGCCTCAATCCATCGGGTGAAGTGCTCCGTCATCACGACTAGGTACTGATTACCTCTGGTTAACGGGAACGGCCCCATCACGTCGATTGACCACAGCTCACCGATCTCGGACACTGGAATCGACAACATAGGTTATGGTGCCCCTTGATTGTCTCCTTTCAGAAGATGGCACTGCTGACACGAGAGCATGTACGCATCGACGTCTTTCTTCACGTTCGGCCAGTAAGCTCGCTGTCTAAGCAAATCATATGTCCTAGTGCACCCGGTGTGAGCCATCTCGTGACACGAAATAACAAACTTCTTCCTCAATTTGAGGGGGATCACCGGCACCGGCGTAGCGCCGCATCCTTGTATCCACATCAGAATTCCGGCTTCGTTGACATGCAGCTTTTCCAGACTCTGCGAATGGCCCGAATTTCTAGCTCTGGTTTTTGGTTGCAGCAGTTTAGTTCGTTATTCGTGCTGTTATCACTGTTCAAAAATCTGTCCTTCCGTTGTTCAGCCGTTAAGTTACTCGGGTCCTGCTCCAGCACTAGACCACCGACACCGAAGGCAACACTGGGCAAATCCTCACTGTTCGTCATGCATGATAGAAAATCTGCCGTCTCGTCGTTTTTCACCGGTACGTTTTATCGTAAAGTCGTATTCTTGTAGACGCAGCGCCCATTGCATAAACTTGCCTCTGGGGTCTCTGGAGGACCTAATCCATTCCAATGGTTTGTGATCGGTTTCGACGTGAAACTGTTGACCCAACAAATACGGTCGCCACTTGTCGAGAGCCCACACAATTGCAAGACACTTCTTCCCAAATGTCGAAAACTTGCGTTCTGATAGGGTCGAAATTCTACTAGCGTATTCCACCGTGCTTTGCTTCTGCTTTAGCACTGAACCGATTCCGACGTCGCTTGCGTCTGTGGTCACAGTGAACGTTTCCCCGGAGATCGGCAATTCTAAAGTCAGTTCCTGTCTGCCCATCTTCTGAATGTCATCAAACGCTCGCTGAGCCTTTGGTGTCCAAGTGAACTTTTCTTCGCCTAACAGCTCATACAAAGGTGACGCCAAGCTGTTAGAATTCCTAACAAATTCACTGTAATATCCAGCGCGGCCCAGAAATGCCCGAAGACTACGCTTTGAGTTGGGACTGGGGTGCCTCGAGTTGCCAATACTTTCTCCGGCAGCCGCTTGAGTTCACCCTAACCTACCTTGTGACCAAGCAGTGTCACAGACGTCTTCCCGATCTGAGACTTCGGCCCATTTATCCGTAATCCAGACTGCTGAATTTTTTACAGCGTCGATGCTACATGACGGCAGTGTTCTGTCTCCCATTCACTATACACAACGTCGTCGCCGTATACGGTCAGATCCAGTAGTCGCAGTATCAAACGCCGGAGTGTAGAAGGGATACCAGATAATTCAAACGGCATGCTTTTAAACTGGTACCGTTTGTCACCGACTTTAAACGCTCTTCTCTCGGTCCATTTGTTTGATCGTCAGCTGCCAGTAGCCAGACCAGATCCAGTACCGTTTTACCCTTGAGTTCTGCAGTTTATCAAAAATGTCTACGATTGAAGGCACGGGGACTAATCGACTCAGCGATATTTCATTCAGCCTTCTGAATTCCACGCAAAAGCGGTACTTCCCATGGGTTTTCTTCACCAAAACGATTGGAGTTATATGGGCTGTGAGCCTCCTCTATTACGTCTGCAGTCAGCAACTCCTGCACCTGCCTTCTGACCTCAGCTTCCAGGTGTATTGGAACTCTTCTGGATCCGTGCGGCTGATACGGCTAAGGGGATAGTGGAATTTTGTGTTCGACCCAGTCACAGAACTTATAAGAACTACTATGGTCCGTGAATAGGATATCGTGCTTGCTCACAAGCAATTGAAGGGCTGGACTTGTCACTAAAACGGCCACGCCGAGCACACCCTCATGGGTTCTTCTCTGCCAAGCTGGATAGCTCCATTTCGTTTCAGGCCGACGATTGCTTCACTAACTTGGACAGTCAGCACCCAGGATAGTCTGCTTTGTGCTCGGCGACATGATGAAGAGATGTTTTAACTTCCGACCCCTAACGCCAACCACATGTTTCGTCATACCATCTATGCGTATATGGTAACCACGCACCGCCTTCACAACCATGGAACACGAATGAGTTTTCACCTCATCTCTGTGAATGATTAAGGAAAGTGCAGCTCCTGTATCAATCAGACACCACTTTCCCATTCACCTCTACCATCGCCTCAATCGCACCTTTATTCAAAGCCCCAGGGATGCGCTCCCCAACACGAGAACACTACGATTGGTAACATTTATTTCGTACAGGCTGTACTGCGATTTGACGGAGATTGGCGCTTCCAGTGTCCCACTTTCCCAATGAAGCAGCTTCCCTTCAGTCGTACCTTCTGTAAGAGAACTCGAAGCGCCCCAATGTCTTGCGTAATCTGTTCCAGTCTCTCTTCTAACTCCTTCCTTCCTCCCTCCTTTGCTTTGTCTTCCGTTGTCAAAGCAGCAACTGCTTCATATGTAAGCACCCTCGCTACTTGGGCAAGGTCCATCACGCCAGTTCTCTGGGTGGCGTTTACAATCCGGAGACAATCGGCTACTGTCGGAGGGTGACCATCCAAAAACCGTTCCACCAACAGTTGTTGCCCTGACTCGTCATCCGTTAGGCAGCGCCCGGGCCAGCAACTCACTGATGTGGACCGCGAAG